CGGCGCCTCGACACGTTTTTTCTCGACGTTGACGTAACGAGGTGTGCGGGCACGAGATTTGTTTCCCCGGAACAATATTAGGAACTCCGCTTTCGTTAACCGGGAACAGAATCTGGAGATGGTCATGCAAGGAATGTAGAAATTACATAGAGAACTCGGAGAATTATAAAGTGAAATTGAAAACCCACGCGGTAGTTTTCTCCCCGTTTAATTTTTAATAGAATTTCACATATTTTGAAAATTAAATTAAATTAAAGTATGAAAGTATTTGGAGTATAAGAGAGAGTGAATAGAGGTATAGAATATATATAGATATAAGAATGAATGTTAAAAAGGAGATATCGAAAAAGTTCTTCGAAAGAAATCGAGTCCGTTATTTTGATTGTGCAAACCCCGTGACACTTATTTTACTCTCCTTATAAATTAATCTACCGTATCTAGGATAAAAATGAAAACTAAAATTTGTTTATCATAATTTACGTATTAAAAAAATGTATTTATTGCAGATATTTGTCTGTGGCGTGTCGTGCTAATTAACGTTCGTGAAATTTTCGTTGCTGAAATTTATACTGCCAGTATGTACGTATTTTTTTTTTACTCATTACCAAAGATTATACAGATCTCTCGTCGGTAATGCGGCACGTTGGAGCCTGCGTAATAACCCGTTTCTTTATTTATATGCCAATGGGGAATACTATACACATGCGCGGCGATAAAGTTGCGTAAATAGATTCGAAACCGGCATTCATGCCACTTGATACGCATATGCTTGCTATCCTTGAGAGGCTTAAGAAACTCGGTATCGCTTTATAGCTCTCCTTCACTTTCTAGACTCTCATCATTTTTATCACATATCCCGTCCGTTATAGGTATCGATTCGTCCAGTTTCAGCAACTGAGCTACGTTCGTCATCATCGAGTACGAGTTTATAAAGTCATGTTTGTGGAATTAGGTGGCAAGTGTTTATCGGTGCGGAAGATTCCACGATTTGGACGATATCATGCGTGAAAACTAGGCGTAAACAGATTTAACTTTAATTTAGAGTTGGAAGAAAACGCGAATTTCGCGTAGCAAAATTTATGACAAACATACATAATATGTATCATTATGATGAATTGAAATAGGTATGTATATTTGCAATAGATAGAAAACGTCAGAAATTTAACAGTTTTTTAATTTTATTTTATAGATTGTAAAGAATATGAAATATATAACCGTACATACATATTCACGTACGATTAGAATTTAACATAACTCGTGCTATGATATTACACAAATTTCTATTATAAAATACGAGGAAAAATTTAATACGAGACAGAAATTTTTCTAAGGTTTAATTTTTTCTCCGCGTTAACTCGTTTCGCAGCTTAGAGAAAGAGATATTGCAAAAATCCTGTGACATATGTATGTATGCGCGGGCGCGCGCCGTGTATGCGCAGTTTTACAAATTACTTAGAAATCACGAGCGATTTTCCGCTCTTAAGTTCGTTGATGCGCCGAGAAATTTTCCCGCCAGGTTTTACTTTGAGGAAACGCCGGATGAGAGAACGTGCGGGACGGCTGCACGGATGACGGATGCGTCGTTTCTAAAATTCTCAGAACTGTCGCATTAGTGACGGTGAGGCGAGGTGTTTGCGGGAGCATTGTGGGGCCCTGAGACGAATTAGGTTCGGGGTCTTGGAGGGAGAATGCCGGTCCCCGTGGCAGGTTCTTTTCCACCGGACGCCTTTGTGCGGAATTCGAATTAAGGGGCGCTCACAGAGATACGAGTTGCATTGCGCGATATGACATTAATTCTTAGTAAAACAGTTATACGCTTCAGATGAAAAATTTTTAAAGATCTTGCATCTTTTCAAAAGATCTTTTGAAAAATTAATATAAAAAGAGGAGAATTTACTTCTATAGAATAATATTTTCTTCTATAGAAGAAAATATAGCGATATCTCTTTTTACATTCTTTTCTTACATCTGTTATCATTTTTCGAGCACTTCTGGCATTTCCTCTCTCACAGGTTTCAAGAATTTTGCACTTTTACGATAATGGAGCAAATGTTTCTCAGTTTTACACGTTTGTGATTTAAAATTTTTAAGATTCTTGCATTTTTGAAAAATTTGTATAAAAAGAGAGGAGAGTTTATTTCTAAATAATATTATCTTTCTAGCTATCTCTCTTTTCGCCTTTCTTTGCATTCTTTTCTTACATCTGTTATCATTTTTCGAGCACTTCTGGCATTTCCTCTCTCACAGGTTTCAAGAATTTTGCATTTCAAGATAATAGAGCAAATGTTTCTTAGTTTTAAACGTTTGTGATTTAAAATTCTTAAGATTCTTGCATTTTTGAAAAATTTGTATAAAAAGAGAGAAGAATCTATTTCTAAATAATATTATCTTTCTAGCTATCTCTCTTTTCGCCTTTCTTTGCATTCTTTTCTTATACCTGTTACCATTTTTCGAGCACTCCTGACATTTCCTCTCTCTCCACCAGGTTTCAAGAATTTTGCTTTTTCAAGATAATGGAGCAAATGTCTCTTGCATCTCGTTAAGTCGCTAAACGATATTCTACCGTATACAGTTGTTCTCATATAATCGTTCTCTCGTAACGCAAGTGATAAATCCAGTTCGGTGGGAAAACTAGTTTCCCCCCCACAGAATTTATTCATTGCGCTTCTGTCGTTTTGGGTCACGTATGCAAATCTTTCGGGAAGTGGCGGCGAGCAATGCAAATAAGCACCGGGAGTCCGCGGAAAAACAAAACGGCGGCGTAACTATACCGCGATTTTTCGCGATGTCGTAAGGAGATAGACGCGTGCTCGCGCGCGAGTAAGACGAATCGAGATTTAGCTGGAAATTTGCTCGAAATACACCGGTTACACGGTGCAACGGGGGTCGACGACCGACAGCACCGGGCAGCGTTACGATATTGACGAGGAAGCTGCTATTTCGGGGGACGACGATTAATTGCCGGGGCGAGGGGAGGCGGCTCGGGAACGCTGCTGATAAATATTCAATCGATCCTTCATGAAATTATCACTGTGCCCCAAGATTGCTCGCCAATAACCCGCCCGAGCTAACTCGATCGAGAGTCAGCGGCCGCCAAGATGAATCTCGGACGAGCGTTTCGAATTTACCTATCTCTATCGATTGTTTTTTTATATAAATTCTGCAACTCCTGAAATTATCATGATTATTGACGTTCTTTAACGCGTTATATTTTTATCACCCGTTTATCCGCTTCTGAAACGTGCCACGAGCCTTAATTAAGCATGTATACTTTTATCAATATTATGATGCAGATATACAAAAAGAAAGATAAAAACGGAATATGAATATAAATTTTCAATTTTGAACTGTATCTCGTAGCTGCACGTCTTACACAATCGCGTCTCTTGTTATTCAACCGCATCGATATATCTTTGTACGTTACGCTATCATATATGTTATTGCACAAAAGAATGACACCGGAGGCGTCAAGGTGCGCATTGCATTCGCAAGGTTGCCCGATGCAGGCCGTCGGCCAACCAGATGCAGGCGCTGCATCCCCACGGTTGCATCTCTTACGGTTTCGGTATGAAAGCAGCCTGTGTTGGAGGTCGGATCGTCGGATGCGGCGCGCGTGGTCTCTCGCACACGGCGACGCGGCGCGCAGCGCAGCACGTAGGCTCGTCAGTCCCTGGTCAGTCCGATGTTTACGCTTGTGCTTTAAACATTTTTCGCCGCGTGCTCTGCTCCGGGAAGCCGCGATCTCGCGTCCGCGATCTTCTCGTTCCCTTTTTCCCTTCCCCTTCGCGCGAGGAGCGTGACTTCACCGGTCCGCGAAGAGCCCAGGAGCGAGGAGTGTTTCGCAGCTTAGCGACGATACATAACGTCGACCGCCGCGGGCTCGTAAAACCGAGATTCCGGCTCGCCGTTTTCGATCGACGATCCTCTACGCTCCGCTGCGCCAGAGGCGCCGGTTCCGAGGCCTCTGCAATTAAGCCGCCCGTGTCCGCGAGTGGATTTGGATGGTCGAGAACAACGGTCGATGACAGAGGTAAAAGAAAGGAATTTACACATTGAGAAAGAGAGAGGAGAGAGAGGCCTAGTTTACACCGATCTCTTGATACGCGTATCAGATAGTATATTTGAACTGATCAGCC